TTCACAGTAGAGTTGATGAAGAAAAAGGGTATGAGGGAGGAGGGAAGAATTGCTGGTTTGGTCACTATTGTCATTGAAAACAATGGTAATCATACATATCACGGTAAGACCTATTATTGAAAAGACTGCCCCACTTACATTGCTTTACGATCGGTTATGTGATTAGTTCTGTATAATTATAGGATGATAATGTGTGTTGGTTGTTTGGTTTTGTGTATGTGGAGGATGGTCTCGATTGGATTGGTGGGTTCAAGGTCAAAACCATTCTTAATCTAACTAGTATGTAAAAGAAAAAATTGATGTATTTATGATTGGATTGCTTTACTCATTGTTATAGCTACGTATCTGTATATGAAATTGTCTACATGTATTGAAAAGAGGGTGATGCTATGGTACATTTGGATGTACCATACATCAGTTATGAGATTATGTGATTTGATATCATAACTAATATCATATAAATCATAACTATTCTCATATTAACTCATAACTTAGTTATATTTAGTTATTTATATATATCCTATTATCTCATAACTACCATATAACTAAATTAGTTTAATAATTTAATTTTGAATTGACAACCGGTGTAACCGGTTGCCAAACAAGCAAAGTAATCAGAATTCCAAGAGTCCCAAGTCAGTTGCCTCCCTCTCTTGCTCTGGTTCGTGCTCTTGCTCCTCTTCTCCTCCCTCCTCTCTTCCACCATAGCCGAAGCTGCAGCGATTGTCGAAGTCCAACGGTCAAGCGTCGGGGCCACCATTCTTCAACTTTCTCTTCTCTTCCACCATAGCGAGCGAAGAACGATTGGCCTCTCTCTCTTGCTCTTCACCTTTCTCTTCTCCTCCACCATAGCCGAAGCTTCCGCGATGGCCAAAGACAACCAGCCCCGTCGGCGATCCACGCCACCGTTGTTGAAATCTTCTTCACAAGCCATCACTCTGTTCCCATCTCCACCATGGGTTTGTCAGCAAATATTTTCCCTTCTAGTTGAATTGAAAATTTACAAGAGCTCTCTTCTGTAGGTCAGGTATGTTCCTATTTAGAGCCACCCAAGAGAGCTGTGCCATTGGGGCTTTGATTTCAAAACCTAACCCTTATTGAATATCTAATAGTAAGGTTTGTTCTCAGTCAAAATTAACATCTGTAACCACCCAAGATAGGGCTTTGATTTCAAAACCCTAACCCTAAAAAGTGAATAGCTGATGATATTAAGTTTTGTTCACATTCAAAATTAACATCGGTTCTCAATCATATTGGCATTTGTTTAATTGCTTTCTCTTTGCTATAGCATTATACGTCTACATGCTGATTAAACACATAGGCGACCCAGCTCAAGCTTTTTTGAGAAAATCTAAAAGTGCACCTAAAGAGAAAAATCTAAACGAGTTTTTTTTACAATGTAAATTTTTAAATAAAATAAATTTTCTCTGTTTTTAAGCTACAAGATTACTTTTAAGTTTTCGTTTTTTTTTTTTTTATTTAAAGTTTGGCAGATCCAAATTTTTATTAGACACAAGTAAAATAAAAAATCTAGATATAATAAACAAACACTAATTTTAACATAATAATGTGTAAAAGAAAATTATAATAAAATAATATAATCTAATTGGTGTATTTACTTATCTTAAAATGATCTGTGGATCGAGCTTGAATGGTGTTGTTTGATAGAATAATTTATCTGGTTCTTGTTTTGATCATATGATTTTGTTATGAAAACAAATAGATATGTAAGAAATTGTAGACCTTGTTTGAGTTTCTGATTAATATGTTGGAATCAAAAGAGCCTTCTTGGATTGTTTAGTACTTCCTGATATGAAATTTTGGACTTGAAAGTTGTGTGCAAGATTAGTGTGATATGGGAAAACCCAACTCATCTTAACACTCTTGTTCAAATTAGAGTTTTATCAAAATTTTCCAAAAAATATAAATAATTTTTTTTGATGAATTCTTTTCTTTCAACTTAGGCTAGTTGAAGACAGGTGCAACCAATTTTCTTGATGAATTCTTCAAAAATTATTATCTAGAAAATCATTTCGTTGTGTGTATGTGTATTGTGATTTTATTGAACCCTTTGATAATGATAATCTTGAACATTGTTTACAGATTCAATGAGAATACTTCTTGTTTACCCATTTTTTGGTTTACTGGAAACTTACTTTCCTATGAGAAATGTTACTTTCTCATATTTGTATATTTAAGATATACATATATATATGTATGCGCGCGCACACACACAGGGGTGACCATTGGTTCAATGGTAAAAATCTTAGCCTAATAACCTTGAAGTTATGAGTTTAAGTCTCGAGGTAGCCACTCTGTGTACTATGTCAAAGGTTAGGTGTATATCCAATCTTTTCCTTCCCCAACACATGTTAATGTGTACTATTTGGGCATTGTTTATATATATATATATATACACACATAGAGATAGCATATCATATGCATATAGGTATGTATATATGCATACATATAATCTACCCTTATACCCATTAGTTTTCTTGATTGTTTGTATCAATCTTTAGACCTTGAAATCATATATTTAATAAATTAGTAATTATATCTCTTGTATTAATTTTTTTTTTTACCAATTTTAGATTTACAGTGAATTTGCAGTGTCTAATTAGGTAGCATAATGGGGAAATGATGAGTGGTACCTGGAGGACCCAAAACTAATAGCCCTTAGTAAATGGTTTTGTGTTACCTACTCTTCAGGGAAACATTATTTGACATTCTCTCTTGACTTCTAAGTTAAAGTTGCTTTTAAATAGCAACTTTTGTGGTAGTATGCCATTTGTTATTTCTTTTGTTTTCAACTATTCTTATTGAAATGTTAGTACCTATGACTCATCAATTATGCCAATAGGCCATTGACAGAACTTACCCATGCTTTGGAAGTTTGGCAGTGATTGCAATTGCAAATTAAAACCTTTCAATAGGTATGGCAAGAAAAAAAAATTTAATTATGGTTTTGGAAAATATGTCTGCATCACTTGCATGTTCTATTCATTTGTACTATTGCAGATTTTGTACTTTTTTCTTACAGAAAACATGTTGCTATTGTTTGATTATTGAAAGAACAAGGTAAAAATTGACTTATAACATAGTCCAATTATTTGAAGATGGTATAGAGCATCTTGGATGTGGACTAATGGGAATTTGTGCTCCAATTCAACATTCTAGTGTAAGTTGTAGAAATGTTTTATTTTAATTTTTAGTCAAAGCCTTTTGGATTCCATTTTAAAATAGTATTTTGTATGCATTGAACGTTGAAAGCATATGGCCTTTTTTTGAAATGTGCCTTCTGGATTTCCCGAAATCTCCAAGCAATCAATGTTGTATGGTACATTCTAATCGTGCTTTATTTATATATTTTGTTATATCTATCTTTCTAGAGAAAAAAAAACGCATACATTGTTGTGCTAGTTACTTTTTAAGAAGAAAACAAATTGATAGGTACTATTGTTTCAGTTTACTTTTTAACGGTGAACATATAATTTTTCCTTAGCTGCTATGTTTGTCATAATCTTATTCACTTTGGTATAGTTTTCTCTCTCTCTCTCTCGCAATTGAAGGTTGTTCATCAATAGGCTTGCCATATGAAAGTGTTCCATGGGAGCTAATTTTAATTTAAAACTTTCTTTTAAATGGATGGCTTTTTCTAAGCTTATATTTGCTTAAAATTATTAGGTGCTTTAAGTTTTCCATTGTCCCATGTCTCCATGTTGATGATAGAGATAAGAATGTCGTAGTACCCTTGACATAAACACACACCAGCCCCAGTATTTTTGTTCAAGAGTTCTATAGTTATTCTAGCTTGCATTGTGTGACACATATAGCAAGGTGGGTAAGTTCAAGGTTAGGTGGTTTGTGATTCATGCCTCTCTTGCCAAAGTACTCCTGGCTTTTGCCAATCATACGACTATGAATGGAAAAAAAAATGTCCTCTTAAGATTCAATAAGGAAACTTGACTCGGGCATTATGTTTATTCACTAAAAGGAATTACCCTAGAAACAATTAAGCCTAACAGAAAATATATATAGTACTTAAATAGTACTTTCTTTTGCTTCAAATGTGTTGTCTACTTTGTTTATCGCATACCTTTAGATTTGAGTTTTTAACTCTTGATTTAGAATATCAAAGGAAGCTACCAATAGGAGAGTTACTTGATTTTAAAGAGGGATTATAGAGCAAACATAATAGTTGGCCAAGGTTGGTGGTGTGCTTTCCTATACCTAATCTTAATCTTCTCCTTCATACTTGCTTCTATTTTTTTAATTTGTTATTTTTTATTTTTTTATACAAGTTTGGATTCTAAAATTTAGATGGTTTTACTCAAAACTGAACAACTAAACCAATGCTTTTAAAATTAAAACAGTCTCTTGTAGGAAATTCATCAGTTACTTCTGGTCACAATATGTAAGATATTTGAGGTAGATTTTTTTATTCCATTTGCTATTTTTAATTATATCTGATTTTTTTATATATAAATTAATTATATCAAATTGTCATTCACAACCTTTTCCCTGCAATTGAATAAGGGGTCATTCCACAAGTTAGTTCCTCTATTGGCCTCAATAATGGCAGGTAGATGTAATATATTCTAGAATTGCTTAAAGTTATATGGCTCCATTGTGTTAGTTCCTCTATGTGTGGGGTTATTCTCAGTTCTCTAAATCTTTAGTGTATAGCTAAATATTCTTGCTGGTTGTGCTCAAGGCCATCCTGGGGTTCTTAGTGAGAATTATTTAAATTCTTTTCTTTTCTTTTTTCTTTTTTTTTTATG